CCCCTTTTAGTCCAATGTTTTATGTTCATTAATACATCATTTATTGATATGGTTTATTCTTATGAATTATATACAAAACACTTAAAAATATATATATATTTATATATATAAAATCAAACTGTCAAGAAGCATGAATGGACAAAAAAATCACAGTACCTCCACAGTTTATTAAAACACAATATTCCATTCATTTTTCTGCCTTCCAAAAACTCCTATTAATATTTCAAACAAAGTTGGGTTTTCCTAAAATCTTTATGATTACTTAACATTGATCTTTATGATTACTTAACATTGATCTTTAACCTGGTTTCTGCAGGATTACAGGATACATCCAGAGTTAAGAATTCGCCCCTGAGGAATGCTCTGGAGTTGTTTTCTGGTATACCTCAAGTAGACACAAATGCCATAAATATTTGCCAAAAGAGCTCCTTTACCAAGGTAGATCCATATCATATGAAGATTTTCATGCCATGAGCACCACCTTGTCCTTTACCCCAAATCTAGCACTTTACAGTCCCCAGGTGCTGTTTGCAAAAAGTATGTAGAGGATCTTTCTAAAACTATAAATCCTGTGGAATAAAACCTAAATGCAAAATCATAAATTTTTAAAGTAGATATTTTCTTACCTACAGGACTGCATAAGGCCAGCAAGGCTCTGAAAGAATCCCACATCCTTTTTATCCTTGAGGTAGTCAAGCATTTTCTGCAGTAAACACAAATAATTTATGCAGAGAATTAATATTTATACTATGTGTTAGTGTTAATCTAGTTAACTTAATACTATACGGGTTCTAGATTACGAGTGATGCAGGTGTTTTGAAACATCTCTAATATTTACAAATTAGATAAAAGAGTCTTGCAGAGAAAAATCCAGGTATCAAAAAAGAAAAGAACATTTAATGCTCATGTCCTTTACAGAAAAGAATGTCATCCATTTGGGGTATTCCTTCCAAAAACATGGAAAATAAAGATAGTATCTAAAGTCAACACAGCCAGCAGAATTTAGTGTTTAATATAAATACAATCTTGCCACTACAATTTTGTATTGATACCACCATTTCAGCACTGGACTGGGCTTGTCAGAACCTCAGTTTGTTTCAGATTCTTTTAGCTGCAACAGCATGTTAGTAGTAATGTGAGTATTTTTTAAATTTGTTTTAGCTTTATTGTAATGTGTAATACCTATCTGATAATAGATTGCAATAACAAGAAGTTATTCAGTGGAGTGAACTCTGATTCTAGAATGCAATGTATTGTTGAGTGAAGATATAGGATTATACCAGAGGTCCCAGTTGTGAACAAAAATCACAATGCTCAAAGATCAAGCTTAGTAGGAATGCTACAAGAATTCACATTGTGAATGAGGTAAAACTCTTTTTGCAAAAAACAAAAATAATAGGAAAAATGGATAGTAAGTAACCTCCAAAATGAAAGAGCACATAAGCAAAGTGTTAACAAAATGTACCAGCATAACCCCAGCATAACCCCAAAATCACAGAAGAACAACACCCCCATCAACACCACCGTACTAATCAAAGCAAAGAACTCCAGAGGATGATGTTGACGACTTTTCAAAACCACTCTGTACCTCTCCCCCCACCCATACCATTCTTCCCAAGGAAGACTGAAGAGTTGATCTTAGGACCTAAAGGAAAATCAGAAAGGTGAGCATAACACCAGAGAAAATGGGTAGAAATGAGGCAGCTGAAAAAATAGCAATTCTAACTGTATTACTGATGCTTTTATGTTATAAGTATGTAATTTAGACTAGTAGCATTAGTATTATTGTAACCGTACTAATAACTGTTTCCTGCACTCTGATTAGCTAAGGCTTTATCAAATAATTTAAAAAAAAAATTAAGATTGTAGCATTACAAATTCAGATTAAGTAACTAGATACAAGTGTCATGATTTTCCTAAGTAATTTAATATCATGACATCACAAAGAACTGGCAATGGTTCAAGCAGATACTTTTCTGCACAATTTGTGGTCTTTCTGGTCAATTCCTGGTAATGATAGCCCCTGAAAAGAACATTATTTTTGGCTGCATCCAGCTGCTTCAGTGGCTGCTTAACTTGGGACCTTAACTGTTCCCAGTTGTTTGTATTCTTCAAATTGTCCTACAGCAATGTAGTAATGGCAGGTATGAAGCCTTCTGGACTCAGGAATCTTCAACTTGTACACAACACTGATTGTACTCTGTATCGGTCACTTCTCTTCAACAGTGCAGAATACTGTTAACAAGTCAGACTTGTTCACTGCTCACCACATTATCTTATGATAGATTAGTAAATCAAGTTTGAGTTCTCTGCTTTTATCACCAAGACTTTCCATGGCATAAGCTAAGGACTTCTGAAGTTGTGTAACATTTTTTTTGGTGAAGTCTGGGGTCAGCAATTTTGCTCTACTGGCTACAGGACAATGTCAATCTCTCAAAAAATCTTTCCCTCCCTCAGAATTCCTCTAAAAGTTAATGATTTAACATAAAATTTCCCCCTTCCAGCTGAAGTGCAAAAGAAGTATCTTCTAGCCTTGTATTCTGTAGATTAATTCTATGTATACAAATAAGAAATATATACCTAGCAAACAAGGTACTTTTGTACACTATTTTCTTCTGGGAATGAGAGTAAGAGGATAAACAGCATCTGACAAATAGTTACATTACATAATGCACTACTACAATAATAATGATCATGGTATAAAGATCTATACTGACTAAAATGGGTGAAAATAAATTAGTACATTACCTGTTGAACGGTAGAATTTCCTCCATTTAAGATGGCAATTCCTAGCTTTAGGGTAGCTGCAACCATTGGCCCCATCTCACCTTAAAATTATTTTAAAATATACTTTTAGATCATATATAAAAATAAGAATGTTCTATTAACTTATCTGTACAATGACTTAAATGGTAATTTATCAGGAGAGGCCTTTTTGTTTCCTTTGTAAAACAGAACTATTTTCCTTTCATGGTCTCTAGTGTGACTTAATATCTTTCTGAGTGCTTACAGACATAGTGTAATGTATACACAGCACACAAAAGAAGCAAGATGTAAGACAGGAAGAACTGAGCTCAATGAATATAAATCATGTTTCATTCGCTCGAGCATCCAACAGTTGATTTAAGCCTGGGTGCACAATTTTAAGCTAGCTTTCAAGTTTAACAATGTGTCTCCTCTGCATGCCAGTCTAGATATTTTTTTCCTGTTTCTTCAGAAAATGACAGTGATCCAAAGCATTTAGTTACAGTAAATGAAATTTGTAAACAGGAATTTGTAAAACATCACTACTGTAGAAACAAATCACAGAACAGACAGTGAAAGCATCAAACCTTAGAGTAACATGGTGTCTAAGGGACAAGAGCATCATTTACACTTCTGAAATGTTTTATCAAAGTACACCAATAAAGTAGATATTTGGGGAGTAGGGAAAAAAAAAAGGACCAAAGCCTACACCTACTTCAGAACTGTACACATCCCAGAATTTGGAGCGTTTTCTGTCATTGCATACTGCTAAAGCTATGAACTTTTTCACACTTCCTCTCAATCATCACTAGAAAAATCATTATTATTATTATTATTATACTAATGATAATGATAATGATAATAATAATAATAACAACAACAACAACCACCACCTCATGAGAATTATTCATTATACTTTTCTGGATTAGCTGTCAATAATTTTTGAAACCTTGGGTGCATTTTGAAAGTAAACTTTAGTGCCAAACATCTGCAAGTTTTGCCCAATAAGAATTACAATCATTTCAAAGATCATTAGAAATAAGGTTTAATATGTAATCTACACAACAAAACATTACCTTTACTAGCACTGATTGTCTGCAGAACCATCTCAGCAGCACCCCGGTCATGCAGTCTGGCTTGTTGATACAGAAGTTTTTGCTTTTCCATTTCTTTTTCCTGAATAAAAATTCCAGTCATTTAAGAGGAGGACTACAGTTACTATCAGTTCTCCAAAGGTTTTTGGTTTTCTCTTAGTATATGGGCTCTATGGCAACATCATGGACCATTTTAATACATACAATGCTACTGAACAGATATTTAACATGTTCAAGTAATATTCTCCCCTTGGTATTTTTCTTTAATATGCTTTTAGCAGTTTATCTGAAAAGAGTCATCTCAATTGTAAATTATTAGGTTAGTTCAAAGCCCATGTTCATTATATATATACTGCATATATCAAACTTGCACTTTTGTGCCATGTTTTTGTGCAACGGTTCATACTCTGAATAATCTTCTATAGCTTGACCATAACTTCATACTGCTCAGTATGCGGGTCTTGAGTTGCAAGTTATTGCTGAATACCAGGGTAACAGAAGCATCTCAGAATTTTTTTCAAAACATATCATTACATTACAATATAGATTGCCCACCCTACCAACAGAATATTTGATAGAATACACTGTGCTTTTATATTTTGCATACTCTAGCGGCAACAAACAATACTGCATGGCGTTGCTTGAGCAATGGTGAAGTTTGTTCTTAATAATTTAAACTACTACTGAAAACATAAAGAACATAAAGAGCAAACATAAAGGCACAGTTAATTCCAGATGAGTTCGAACTTTCACCAAGTTAATTGAAGTTTGCTGGAGAATTGAGGATGACTAAGCAGTATAAGTTGCAAAATGGAAGTTGCATAGAGCCCTATGACAGTGAGTCCATCGGATGGCGTGGTAAAAAGCTTACTCAAAAGGAACATGACACAATCAGTTAGTATCATGTCCAAAAACACAACGCCCAAAACATGTATGACAGCAGGAACAGCTGCAGCAGAAGTAGCCAGAATGACAGCTTTGCTGCCATAAACTTTCCATCCAAGTTACGGAAAAAAGACATTGGAAGATGGAAGAGGTTTAAAAAATGAAGGCTTGCTAAATAGAGGATATGAATAATAAATTAAAAAAGAAGAGGTAAAAAAGAGAAATATGTTCAAATGAATGAAAAAGAAACCTTTAACTCAAAAGCAAACCAACACAGACATTTATGCTGTTACCAGAGAGTTCTCGCCGAGGCTGGCAAATTTGTTTCTTAAATCTTTGATAATATCGTGCTGCGGAAACAAAATTCATCAGGGTTTTTTTTTCACACTATTAGCTCTCCTGTGGTTAAATTGTATCTTTCTTTTTTCTTTAAATTATGTGACAGATCTAGATGGAGGCACAAAAAGGAAAAAAAAAAATGGCAGCTTTGCTTCATATTTAGCCATGCTAAGGTTTGAAAGTTTTGCCTTCATGTTTAAACCTCTTCCTGGGACTTCAACAAAAACAAAACAGAAACATACACACATACACACGCACACACACACACGACACACACAAACCACCGGAAAATCATGACATCACAGGTTCAATAAAGCTACAATAAAATATTTTCATTTGCTTCAGGTACCACTGAAAATTGATCACTGTTTCTTTTTTAAAAAACTATTTCCTATTTCTAGTTACTTTTAGTTTTAGACCCAACAATCTTTCATTTTTCTTCCATTGCAAGATTTATTATTCACTTTTGTTCACAAGCCTAACATCAACTATACTACTTTCATGATACTTTTTTTTTTTAATAAGTTTATAAGAATGCTTATAGTGAGGATGCATCTGCATAATCTACAGACTAAAAGAACGGGTATGCACACTTCTTGCAATGGCACTATAGAAGAACAGTAGAAACAGGCATTGCCAAACAGTTTAAAGTGGGAAGAGTGGCATTTTCCATGGAAATCAAGCTGTCTAGGTAAGTAGTAACAAAGCAGACCAAAAAAAAAAAAATTCCACCAACAAAAAAAATACCACAAATGTTTCTTCTCAAAGCAACCATTCTTTTGATGATAACCCCCAAAGATCATGATTCCTTCTTCAGTTTGACAATGCTTTTTCACTGTTGTTTTCTCCATGCAATGTTTTTATATATATATATATATATGTATGTATGTATGTATGTATGTATGTATGTATGTGACGGCAGTGCTGATATGAAGTGGGACACCCGTTGCATACAAAGTATACTAAATTAATAGAGCTGCTAGCTGGTCAAGGTATCCCCATTTCTCTAAGATGTACTTACTGCTAACACTGTTGTCTGCCCTACCAGCATAGATTTTTGCACTTTATTTGCTTGGCACAGCTGATGTCAAGAAAACTACCAAAATAATTAGCCAGTGGTTTGAATTTTCTGTCATTCACAAAACCATCACAACAATACCAAAAATACTTCATACTAAATGAAACATTTAAAGTAATTCACCAGAATTTAAAAAAAAAAAAAAAAACAAAACTCAAAGAAAACCAAGTCTATTTTATTTTGGGTGTTTTCCATTTATATGGGAAAAAGCTGACCACTTAGAAATGTACATATATGTATTCCCACTTAAAAGACACTCTCCAGCAACCTACCAAACCAAGGAAACTTTTTCATCATACTCTTTGAAAGCAGAGACTCAAATATTTTCTACTTCATTCTATTTTTTTTTGGTTTTAAATTGTTACAAGCAACTATATGCCAAAAAAACACACGTTGGGCAAAATCACAAGTTTTAGCTTGAATTTGTAGGCGACACACCTGCAAAAACTAAATAGGAGCTTTAACTGACAAGTGCACCACTTAAATTGTTTATTTTCTCATAATCCATACAAAGAATGATTCTTGGTCTCTCCCTTTGGAGCTAAGCTGTATGGAGAGGTTTGTTTGCTGCTACCACTAAGCTCGCAGCCATGGAGTGCAGATGTATGATCCTAATTCTACAGAGCATAATTTTTTTTTTCTTAATATGAAATTATGAAATAGTTAAAGAGTAAACAGAATAAAAAACAATACGGAAAGGGAAGAAATTACTTTCAACTCAACTATTCTAAGATGAATGCTTCTCCTTTGAATTGTCTTCATATTTTATACTTTTCAAGACCTCTGTTTAGTCCAGAGAATAAATCCTGTTAGACAGGTCTTACACTGTCAATTTCCGTGTCAGCCATGCATGAGTACAAACTATGTATTAAAATATAACATCAAGTACCCAAGAAGAATCTTTATATATATTTTTATATATATATCTCTCTTTATATATATATTAAGCCTTTAAGCTTAATGTATATATTAACAGCTTAATGCTGTTTTATGCTCCATAAATAAAGTTGAATTTTTCCTAACTCGCTCATTTTGGACTTCATCAGCTCTAAAAAGAGTATACACAAAATGAAAACATAATGCATTATAATTCCTGAAGATTAAATACGTAGGATTATAAGAGTGTTAGAGGAGTTTATTTTATCAAATATGCTTTCCATATTACTTAAAGAAATATTTCAATTCCCACAATTTCACGCTTACATTTCTGTTTCTGCTGAAGATCTCAACCCCAAAAGATTTTTTTCTAGTTGGAAAGTACTGATATGATATCCATTATTATAGCTCCCTGAGTTGAAATATCCTTTCTATTATCCAGATTATCACACAACAAAAGGAATTCTTTAAAGTACAGATGGTAAAATATAAGAATAAGGGAAACAGAAAATGTAGAGACTACTAAACTGCTGGCACATAAAATAATTAAAATACAATCAATCTCAAAAGTTAATTTCATAATAAATGAATGGCCATTCTACAGCCATTTCTCCGCCACCTGCTGTGCTTTCTTGTTCTATGTACTCTTCCATAGTTTAGGAATACTGACGTGTCTCAATGCCAGGCATCTATAAGCCTTCTATCGTTTTATATTACTTCCATGATACAAGTAAATACTTCTGAAAATGCTTGAAAGTGGTGTCTCAATATCATCACTAAAAATGATAAACAGGTTGACAAATTAACTACCACATTCTTAGATATATGCACTCAGTGGCAGCCTGTTAGCAATTTTTAAATTTCCTCAAGACTACAGTTATTTATTTTGAATGTAATAATTCTTTGCAAGACTTCAGAACACTGGTAGACTTCCTGTAGTAGGGGATTTACTAAATTTTATTAACTAAACATATGGTTTTATCTACTTTACCTTAATTCAATGACTTAGTAAAATTTGAAAATTTTCCCTGCATTCATTTTTTTCACTGTTGGTGCTAAACAAATAATAATAATAAAAATAAAGTGTAGCTAGGAAAAACATGTATGCAAAAAATGCTGGTTTGATTTGATTGGCCGTAAACAACATCCAGCTTTCTTGTGCGTTAGCATAAATATTTTGTAATATGGTGAGATCGGAGGAAAGGAAATAACATTGATCTAAAAAGTATCTGGGAAAAAAGGAGAATTGAAGAGGAACAAACCATCTTATTCATGAATTTTTGTCAAATTTCAGACAAGATAGCAAAAAGCTATTATATGTTTTATAATATAACAGCTGAAAAAACACAAGAATTATAGCAATCGTTCATCAAAATTATTTCTTGTATTCACACCGATATTCAGAAAAGGAAGTACTGGTGTTCTGCTGACTCTCCCCAGTAATAAATGCATGGCAGGAAAAAAATTTATCGTGTCATATCATTAGATTTTACGAGATAACTATTTTACTCAATATCAATAGTCAGCACATTAATCCACATGGGCACAAAGTAAGGATTGTTTTATCAGCATTACATTTCACATTTCCTAGCATCTGAATAATCTGTATTAAAAACTTTAATGTTATATTACAAATATATTTTGTTCATACAATATATAGTTATAAAACAAACAAAAAACATATACTAAACTAAACAAAATACTACTCTGTGTTAAAACAGCATTACATCTGAGCTACAAATGCATAGGAATAAAGATATCCTGAAATAAAAACTTCGCTACACATTTTATTTTGTTTTGGTTAATTTCAGCTTGCAGAAATACCTTTACTAATGTCATGATATTTATACTGTCATTCATTTATATCTTCCTCTCTGGCAAGGAAGTTTGTTTTGTTTCCTACA